GAGGATCTGTCGCGCACACGCGCACACACACACACACAGAGGATCTGTCGGTCCTGACCCCATTGCTGCACCAGGTCCAGTGCTTGGCAGCGACCTGTGACTATAAAAAAGGAAGTGAGGAGCCCGGCGCCGGTGGCTCACGCTGTCATCCCGGATACTCAGGAGGCTGACATCTGAGGATCTTCAAAGCCAGCCTGCGCAGGAAAGTCCAGGAGACTCTGATCTCCAATAAACCACCAGAAAACCGGAAGTGGCGCTGTGACTCAAGTGGTAGAGCGCTGGCCTTGAGCTGAAGAGCTGAGGGACAGCGCCCAGGCCCAGAGTTCAGGCAGAAGAAGTGATAGAAGTCTCACACTAAGAGCCATGACGTTTCACCTCATGGCTGAGTCCAGGTTGCCTTCACTGAAGAGTGAAGAAATCGTTGCGGTCATTTTCTGCGGGTCCCGGGGCTTGGACTCGGGTCGGGGGTGCTGCCTCTGAGCTCTTCCACTCAAGGCTGGTGCTTTACCACTTGAGCCACGCCTCTACTTCTGCTTTAGGATGGTTAATGGGAGATACTAGTCTCTCATACTTTTCTGCCCAGGCCAACTTAGGATGGAGCTTTCTTTATCTGAGCCTCCACCTCTCAGTTTCTTTGATTTCATCATTAGCAGCCCAATGTTGGTACTGATAACACTCCTTCCTAGGAACTCCATTTCAACTTGGTTAGTTTGTTCTAGCAACAAATAATCACCAATAATTTACTTTGTGGCTTGGCTCTTCAAGTAGGAATAGAGTGTAAAAGAGATAAAACCTAGCTCCAATAATCTGATGGCTCACGCCTGTAATCCTAGCTACTCAGGAGGCTGAGATCTGAGGATCGCAGTTCAAAGCCAGCCCGGGCAGGAGAGACCTTGAGACTCCTATCTCCAATAAACCACCAGAAAACCAGAAGTGGCGCTGTAGCTCAAGTGGTAGAGCGCTCGCCTTGAGCTGAAGAGCTGAGGGACAGCTCCCAGGCCCAGAGTTCAAGCCCCATGGCCAACAAAAGAAAAAGAAAAAAGAAAAAAACCTAGCTCCAGGGAGGTTTACTGGGGGCAGATTCAGGGCAAGTGTGTAGTGTAAGGTTGTGATTAGTGCTGTTCAGAAAATCAGAACAGGACGGGCTGGATTGCCTCTCCCTCTAACCCTAGCAGCCACAATCAGCTTCCCCTCTGTAAGGATTCACTTATCTGAATATTTTATATGAGTGAAATTATACAAGATTTGACTTTTTTTTTTTTTTGGTGGGTCATGGGCTTGAACTCTGGGCCTGGGCGCTGTCCCTGCGCTCTTCAGCTCAAGGCGAGCACTCTACTGCTTGAGCCACAGCACCACTTCCAATTTTCTAGTGGTTTATTGGAGATCAGGGTCTCACGTGGACTTTCCTGCCCAGGCTGGCTTTGAACCGTGATCTTCAGATCTCAGCTTCCTGAGTAGCTAGGATTACACGCATGAGCCACCAGCACCCGACTAAGATATGACCTTTTTGAGAGGTTTTGTTTTGTTTTTGTGCCAGTACTGTGGCTTGAGCTCAGGCCTTCATGCTTTTGCTCAGCTTTCTTGCTTATCTTTCTTGCTCATACCTGGTGCTCTAGCACTTGAACGACATCTCTGGCCTCTGTCATTGGAGACAGAGTCAAAGATATGACCTTGTGCCAGGTGCCAGTGGCTCAGGCTTCTAATCCTAGCTACTCAGGAGGCTAAAATCTGAGGACCACGGTTCAAAGTCAGCCCGGGCAAGAAAGGGCATGAGACTCTTCAATTAACCACCAGAGAACTGGAAGTGGTGCTGTGGCTCCAGTGGTAGAGTTAGCCTTGAGCTGAAGAGCTTAGGGACAGCGCCCAGGCCCAGAGTTCAACTTTTGTGTCTACCTTATGTCACTTATTATAATGTTTTCAAAGCTTATCCATGTGGTAGCAAATGTCAGAACTGTATTCCTTTTCATGATTGAATAATATTTTGTGGTATGTTTAAACTATAATTATTGTGTATCTTCCTTTGCCATTAGAAATGTAGGGGCTAGGAAGATGGCTCAGTGGTAGAGCGCTTGCGTTGCATGCGTGAGGCTCTGGGTTCAATTCCTCAACAACACATAAGCAGAAAAAAAAATGTATGCAGGGCTAGGAAGGTGGCTCAGTGGTAGAGTGCTTGCCTTGCATACATGAGGCCCTTGGTTTGATTCCTCAGCACCACATAAGCAGAAAAAGCTGGAAGTGGAGTTGTGGCTCAAGTGGTAGAGCATTAGCCTTAAGCAAAAGCAGCTCAGAGACAACACCCAGGCTCTGAGTTCAACCCCAGGACCAGGAAGAAAAATTTTTTTTTTTTTTGTCGGTCGTGGGGCTTGAACTCTGGGCCTGGGCGCTGTCCCTCAGCTCTTCAGCTCAAGGCGAGCACTCTACCACTTGAGCTACAGTACCACTTCTGGTTTTCTGGTGGTTTATTGGAGATAGGAGTCTCAAGGTCTCTCCTGCCCGGGCTGGCTTTGAACTGCGATCTTCAGATCTCAGCCTCCTGAGTAGCTAGTATTATAGGAGTGAGCCACCAGCACCTGGCAGAAAAAATAATTTTAAATGTGTGCCGAGGGGCTCATTGATGTCTTGTCTGCCTGAAATACCCAGCAGTCCTGTAGGCACACGAGAACTTTGACAAAGGTATGCACAGCTCAGCTACATCCCCGTTACAGGCAGTGAAACCTGCAGCGGGATATACCCAGGTACACAGGCCTTGGAGCAAGCTTTCTGTTCCTGGAGGGGCTGTCCTTGCAGCACAAGATCACAGTCAGTGGAGATCACAACAAAGCCCTGCTCCTGAGAATGAGGGATGCCCTGAGCCCTGAACCTTAAAATCAGATCTGGCAGGTGGACACCGGGTTTCATTCTTGCAGCAAAATGACTAGGGAATAAATGGGCACTTCCGCCCAGGTGCTTCTTGGGGGGCTCCTGGGATGGTTGCTGTGAAGTTTAGTTCCCTGGGGAGGCAGGGGAGCTGGTAGAACAGCCACTGAGCACACAGAGCAGAGGTACAATCCCAGTCCTGCAGCAATAGCTGTGAGGTCAGCCCCAGAGAAAGCCACCCCCAAGTCAAACTGTGCGGAGCCAGAGCCAAGGCCCAGAATCCAGGGCCAGGAAGAAAGAATATCTGCATCTCCATTAGCCAGGCCCGCCTTAAACCCCAAGATGTGACTTCTCACATGATCTCCCTGTGATCTGGCTTGTGGGGAGAGCTTGAAGCGCCAGCCCTACGCTGCATAACCCACAATCAAGCCAGATCCTTGGCCACTGCTGGAGAAAGACCAGCTACCTGTCCTAGTGCCCGTGCTCAGGGCTTTCCTTTCCAGCGTGGAGGATGGAGGAGGGAGAAAGGAGTCCCCTGTTGTCTCCGGTGAGTGTCTGCCCAGTGTTTGTCCAAGCCCTGAAGCCCCCAGGAAGACCTGCCCCCCCCCACTCCAGCCTTACCTTAAGCCTATTTGTATGCGGGGGCTTGTTGTTCAGTCCTAGGACAAAGCCAGCCTAGACTGGGTACATCTTCACTAATCTGGCTCCTCCCTTGCCCACTGGGGCAGTGCTCCCAGCTGGGTGCCCAGCTTTACGAGGTCACACTCAAGAGTGGATGTAGACAAATGCCCCTTGAGCCCCATGGCACCTGACAGCTCAAGTCTGGCCACCAACCTTCTTGGGGTCTGTGAACTGATGGAGAACCCTCATGTCCTCTGCTCTGAGCTTGAAAGAATTCAGCTCTTGATAGAGACAGGCACAGGTGGCAGGGGCAGCTCTCTCCTGGTAGAAGTGGGATGGAATGGGACCCTTTCCAGGCAGCTGGCCATACTTTCTTTCTTTTTTTTGTTTTTTGTTTTTTGGGTCCGGTCGTGGGGCCTGAACTCTGGGCCTGGGCGCTGTCCCTCAGCTCTTCAGCTCAAGGCTAGCGCTCTACCACTGAGCCACCTTCCCAGCCCCGGCCATACTTTCTTAAGTCTCCCCTAAATCTAATTGTCCTCAGACTGAACCTGGGCACCAGTGAGTTTGTTGCTCTGCTTCCCCCAAAAAGAGAGCCCGAGAGGCCCTTCCCAGGCTTACCAGTCTGGCTGAGCATCTGGCTGGTGGGTGAGGCCCCACCTCCTTCAGACAGCCTCCACAGTGGCCTGGCTGCCCTTCTCTGTGCCCTGGGAACAAGAGCCCACCATCAACATGGGCTCCTCTAATGGGACTGGCTGAGTGGATCTTGGAACAGCGGAGCTGGTTTGGGAGGGAGAGGCAGAGGAAGGAGACCCTGTAGACCATCTCCTGCACTGGAGGGCCTGTCTGGGAAGCCCATTGTGTGTGCACAGAACACTGCTGCTGACCTTTACAAACAGACCCTAGCAAATGCAGGAAAAGCATCCTGCCTGCCATGGACTTGCACTGTGGGCGGACCAGGGGCCCTGACTTGCTGTCAGGCATAAGCAAGAGCAGAGCAGCCTCCTCCATTGCACAGATGTGATGGGAAAACAGAGCACCACCCTGCCTAGTCTGCACTCCATCCTCTCGTGGCAAGGATGCTAGATGCACACATCCGTACCAGCTGTTCCTTCTGCTGTCCCAAAGGACAAACCTGCAGATCCTCATCTCAAAGCCCTGGTCATGTAGGGCTGCCTTTAGCGTGTGTGGCGGGGGGGAGGGGGGTCCTGGGACTTGAACTCAGAACCTGGATGCTATCCCTGAGCTTTTTTGCTCAAGGTTGGTATTCTCCCACTTGAGCCACAACTCCACTTCCAGGTTTTTGCTGGTGAATTGGAGATAAGAGACTCCTGGGCTTTTCTACTCAGGCTGGCTTCAAACCAGGATCCTCAGGTCTCAGCCTCCTGAATAACAAGGATTACAAGCCTGAGCCATCCCACCCATGCCAGGCTCCATGAGGGCTCTTCCTCCTCTACTTCACCCTTCACCGTTCAGATTCCATCCATTGCACCTTTCCTGGCCCTCTACCCAGAAAGCCTCTCCCTTGCTGGCTGTCACACGGGCTGAGAGAATGGAACCTCACCACTGAGGGCTCCTGGTCTCTCTTCCCTATGTAGGATGCCGCTGGTCAGAAGCAGTCCCTCTCCAACAGCCTACCTGTGTCCAGTGACGCAGGCCCCAGCCTCTCCATAGGAAGCAGTTGTATCAAGTATCTGATCTTCCTGTCCAACGTCATCTTCTCCCTGCCTGGCCTGCTGGCCTTGGCGGGTGGACTCTGGGGCCTGGCTGTCAAGGGGTCTCAGGAAAGCGACCCTGGAGGACCCCTGCCCGAAGACCCCATGCTCGTGCTGATGATGGCGGGGCTGGCTGCCAGTGCAGTGAGCCTGGCTGGCTGCCTGGGTGCCCTGTGTGAAAGCCGCTGCCTACTCCACTGCTTCTGGGGTGCTGTCCTTGCCTGCCTGGTGCTCGAGGCCCTGGCAGGAGTCCTGGTGCTGACCCTCTGGGACCCGCTGCAGGGTGGCCTAGAGCACATTCTGTACCTGGCCATCGCTCACTACCAGGATGATCCAGACCTGCGCTTCCTCCTCGACCAAGTGCAGCTGGGACTGCAGTGCTGTGGAGCGGCATCCTACCGGGACTGGCAGCAGAACCTGTGAGTCCTGGCGTGGGTCAGGGGGGCACTGCCCAGTGGGAACTCACGCGGCTGTGCACACACACTGGCCTGTGCACGCGTGCTGGCTGAGCACTCAGCCACAGAGCCACACGCCTCACACTCTGCCGTCCTCCGGTCCTCACATGCACATACACAAATATCAACAACGATTGGCGCCTCCCTGAGCCATGGGCTGTGGCTCAAATCAGCCCTTTCAGCCCCCAGCTCAGCCTCCTCAGAGAACTTCCAGGCCAGGTGAGCACAGATGGAGAAGCAGAGCCGGCAGAGCCAAAGCTGGCAGATGCACTGCCTTCCATCAGACAGTATGTCTCAGCACCAAGTGAAAACAACCCTTGCATTGACGCAGGATATCCTCCTGGACTATAACCCCACAGTTCCCTCTCCATATGTACATGTGAGATGTGATTCAGACTGGGTGGCGGTGGCTCACACCTGTCATCCTAGCTACTCAGGAGGCTGAGCTCTGAGGATTGTGGTTCAAAGCCAGCCCTGGAAGGAAAATCCTTGAGACTCTTATCTCCTATTAACCACCAGCAAACTGGAATTGGTGCTGTGGCTCAAAGTGGTAGAGTGCTAGCCTCGAGTCTGAAAAAGCTCAGGGACAGCACTCAGGGCCCTGACTTCAAACCCCACGACTCACAAAAAACAAAACAACACAAAAAACTTGTCCAGCCTAATGGGTGTGGGGAAACAGCCTGCAGTTTGTATCCACAGGTCCAGAAGCGTGGGCCTCTCTGAAGGGCGTCTGGGACTGAGCTGTGATGGTAGCAACGCTTCCCAGCCACCAAAGGGCTCCTCCCAGCCCCACCCTCCCCTGCTTCCCAGTTCTGCCTCCTCTCACTGAGAGCTCTGACCATTCCAGAAGCCTCTGCCAAAGCTTAGTCCACCTTATTCTCCCTCTCCAAGCATATCTGTCTGCTCAAACTCACAATGGTGCACAAGGTCTCCCTGCCACCCACTCCTCCACAGACGTTGGTCTCGCCTTCAGCCATTTCCCTAACCACCCCCCAGCCTTCCACTGAAGACAGCCAGGATTCCCGCCCCAAGGGCAGAGGGGCCCCATGCACAGCCAGATGGGAAGCTGGGTGTTAGGTGTGCACATGTGTACTCACAAATGTCTGTGTGCCTGAGTATGCATGTAAGTGTGTGTGTGCACATATGTGTATTGCTCATTGAGGTTTGGGGGTTTGTTTTGTTTTTATGCTGGTACTGGGGCTTGAACGCAGGCCCAGGGCAATGTCCCTTAACTTTTTTTTTTTTTTTTAGTGCTCTGCTACTTTGAGTCACAACTCCACTT